CACATGTCATCACTGCTTGGAGTTCAAAGCATTCTTTGCTGGAGAGGCTTTTTCTGTTTGCCAGTTATTCAACATTGTATCTATGATGGGCAGGAATTGGTAAACAAGTGTATGAACACATATACAGAAAATTGTCGTTTATAAAATAGAGATATAAATTGTACAAAATAATAAATTTGTTTGTTTTGACAATTTAGGTTGTTTTGTATCTTAAATTTATTTAAGGGGCATAAAGATAGGGTACTATATCCTTCAAATTCTGGACAATTGATGTTGTGAAGTTGCATTTCAGACTGATATTATGTAGAAGTGATTTAAATAGTTAAAATTTTTGAAGTTGCATTTCACCACTGTGAATTATTATTTGAAAGCAATTTAGACAACCTATTAAAAAACTTTTTAATCTGAAAATGATCATAACTGCAAATTAATATGAACTGTTTTGTTTGGCATGGAATTTAAATTGACTCTACTACCTTATAAGCTACCTTGACAAACAAGTTGAATATAACAAGGATATAAACAATTATCCCATTTAACAAAGGTTCAAATCAGTTTTCTTTGGACAAATACAATGACTTTGTCTAGGAAGACTGCATGGTCACATTTATAAAATACAGATATAAATTGTACAAAATAATAAATTTGTTTGTTTTGAAAGTCAATTTATGTTTGCATTGGTATTTTGACAATTGATGTTTTTCAGACTGATAATTATTATGATTTAAATAGTTAAAATTTTTTACACACATGTTTTTTTTTTTGTTTGGCATACATTAATTCTTGTATTTTCACTTACTAAAATGAGACAACCTATTAACAAACAAGTTGATGACACAAGAATATCAAGTCTTATTTAAAGTCATCATTTCACAACTTCTTTGGTCAATACAATGACCTTGTCAGCAAAAACAATCTATCATCAAATATTGACTGATGTTTTTCATACTAGTACAAATTGATAGACCATATGCATTAATTTACACTGATTTGTCCGTTGTCTGTCGTCGTGGTTGTCGTCTGTCGTTGTCGTTGGCTTTCGTTGTTGTTGTAAACTTTTCACATTTTCATCTTTTTCACCATATTGCTAAACTTCTACAAATATATCAAGTTTGATATATTTAAAAAAAAAAATTTGTTAAAAAAAATGGCAATTTTAAAAAATCTTCTTTAGAAACTGGGCCAGGAAAGCAAACCAAACATACCAGTTTCAAGTTTGTTCAAATCATGCAATGTTACAAGTTTTACATAGGAATATATGGAAAAATCTTTAAAAATACAATTTATGCATTTAGATGAAACTATGTGAAAGCATCCTGAATGTTTATAGTTTCAATTATTTTTTAATATGAATTAATAATCAAAAATTAGATGTTATCCAACATATTTTAAGATAATGGGAATGGAATGTTACATAGTTTTACATACCAATATATAGGAAAAATCTTTAAAAATCCTTTTCACTTTCATTTCCAGTGTGTAGATTCAAGTTTGTTCCAATTGTCATGAGTTTATATAGAATATATGAGAAAAATCTTTAAAAATCTTCTTATAGCTACTAGGCCAGAGAGAAAATATTTACACCCTAGTTAGACTTTTTGTCTTTAAACCTGCCCAAGTTTTACATTATATATAGGAAAATTCTTTAAAAATCTTTTCTTTCAGAACCACTGTGTGCCAGGAAAGATGAAACTCTTGTGGAATCATCCTCAGGTAGATGGATACAGTTTGTTCAAAGATACCCCCAGGGCAAGGGTAGGGCCAAAATTGTGACTCACGTTTTCCATAGGAATATATAAAATATCAAAAATCCTTCTGAATCACTGGGCCAGGAAAGATGAAACTCATGTGGAATCATCACAAAACAAATTTGATGACACATGACACCACAAATGAGGAAAATAAACTTTAGGATATATAGAAACCAAACACAGCAAAGCTATGATTAGTGATATTTATAGAATTCAGGTAGTGTAGATATTTCTTCAAATGATGAACGCCAAATTCAAGCCAGATGTGCTCAGGTACAGGTGGTACTAATGTTTTCCATAACATTACAAGGAGCACATGGTTGTTAAATGAGCAATAATTTACTTATCTAGAGGTCCATGTTTAATCTCTGCCTGATTTGTATTGTTTGAATGGACTTTTGAGTTTTATATTGTATACATGTAAATATATTAATTTATATTTCAAAATGAAAAAAGATATACTTATTAGTGCTTGCCAGAAACAGTATGTGTGTATAGTACATTACATGCGTTTAAATATCAATTAGCTACATGCATGTTTGGTTTTAATTATTTTATGAAATAATACCAGTAATCAGAAATTACATGTTAATGGACTTATTTGAAGAGAACAGGAATGGAATGTTACATATATATACTTGTGTCTTTCTTTCCTTTTCATTTATAAATGGATAATGTCATGATTTATAATATATGAATCTATGTGTGCAGAGAGAAAATATTTACACCCTGTTGACTTTATGTCTTTAAACCTGCCTTTTACAAACTAATAAAAGAGTTTTATCCTTTTTTGAAACTGTGTGTAACAAGTGATACATTTGAGATACCCAAATGTGTAGTATGTCCATTGAAGAAAACAGACATTCTTAATACTCTTCAGCACAAAACAATCTAGATGACACTGCACCAGAAATAGGAAACCAAACTTTAGGTTTATAGACAAACACAGCAATGCTTCTGGTGAAGAAGAATTCAAATATCTCTTTATCCAATGTAGAGTGTATGCATGCAGGTACATATGTACTATACTGGTGTCATGTACCTGAGGCAGTTTTAAATGAGCAATAATTTATTTTCTGTACATTCATCATTTCATAGTTGTAACAATGTATACATGTAGATATATTAATGTACAATAAGATATTCTTATTAGTGCTTGCCAGAAACAGTTTGTGCGATATATGGTGTGACCTGTGAATGTGTTCACTTGATAATGCAAAAGGTTATGTTTTACATGGTGGTCATACTAGTTATAAATGGATAATGTACATGTAATAATATATGAATCTATGTCACAATTTGCTTGAAAGCTTGGAAAAAAAAAGCTGTTTGCATAAAATTGTTATTTGTGAAGTTCTCTTTCAAAAGTAAAACATTTTATTTATAGCTTCATTATTGTTAACAATTTCAATCACAAAAAATAATATTAAACAATGTATAGTGTATTTTGTATTTCTATAGAGTCTATATACAAGTAATTACTTGTCCTTTCTATTTCATTTAAAAAGGATTTTGAATGAAAGAAGTCACTGAAACATTTTAATCATATCTGCTTGTGGAAAAAATACATTTGCATGAAATTGTCAGTTTGAAGTTCAGCTGATTACTTGCATTATGTTAACATTGCTCACAAAAATAATATTAAACAATATATAGGTTGTTTGTATTCTTGGAATACCAGTATAAGTTGATTATTTTATTTTATATAAACATTTTTGAAATCTACCTTTTGACCTTGTTCACATTTGCACATACTGTATAAGTGGAATTTTAAGCATAATGCAAATTCAGCAATTTCTCCTTATAGAATAATTTTAGTGGGATAATCAATGTTAGCAATCCTAAAACTCTTACTAAATCTTCCAAAATTGGGATCCTTGCATGAATTTCCACTAATACAGTATTTTTAATACATGTACCTGGTAAAAGTTGGAACAAAATAGTTTTATAAGAGTGCCACTTAAGAGAAATACAGAGTTGGTGGATCTAAATATTTGACTTTTTTTTTAAATAAAGGTGTTGGATGAAACATAGTGAACACATCCCAGTGAAAACCTAATAGCTGCAGTCTACTACAAGCAAATATCCCGTGGTCCTGATCGATTTAAGATTGTTCCTACAACAGGGGCTCTCTGTCAATATTTAACAGGTGTAATATAATAACCTGTTTACTACGCTCTATTAGGAGTAGAAATTAGAATCCTGTCCACTGAATAATGGAATACAACTGGAGTAATTCAAAGGAAAATCTGAACTCTTGTTAATTAAACATCTCAGAATTGTGTCCCCATCTATTGACTGCGTCCTACTAGATCTTTTTTCTTTATCCCCTCCCCCCCCACCTACCAACAACCAGCTTAATTAACTTTTTTAGCCAAATCATTTTTTGATTGATCATCTCCACTACGGGCTAAGTGTGAGGTATTTGTACATCATAATTTGATGACACTAACATATCAATTCATTAAAATAAGGATGTTTCAATCTTAATGAAATGTTTTACAATATGTGAATCACCAATACCCATCATCATCATAATTTTGAACACCCACATTCTCCGATTTTAAACAAAATAAGAATTTTAATGGGCCTTTTGTCTTTCAATGTGGTGTGCTTTTTTACTTTTTAGTAAGATTTTTTAAAAACATGAAATAAAATCATTAAAGCTGAACACTTCTCATAAATAGGCACTGTCAGACGGGTATATAAACCGTTCGCTTTCGTTACACCCGATTGCACACTCGAAACTCGTGGCCGACATGTAGTACTCCTATCGTGGTCTTAGATTTTTTGCATTTATTTCTTGTTTTTAGGTGCATTTTCTGTTTGTAAATAATGTATGGACCTGCATTTTCCATACTGCATTTTTGATACGGAAAAAATGCGTAAAATTTGATAATTTCATCGATATTGAGTAGTACGCTTTGTAAGATGTACGTATACACTCGTCGGATCTCTATACTGAAATACATTGAACTGACTAGCGATCTGCTCCTTATATACGAGTTGTAGGGAGAGCGTTGAAGAACGGGAAATATGGCGGACTATGCCTATTTACGAGTAGTGTTCAGCTTTAAGCTAAGCATTAAGAAAACAATTCAAGGAAGTCGAAATCCAGGAGGAGGAAATACTCAGTACTGCAACACATATAGATGATCTTTAAACTGAAGTCTAAAGTACTTTTATCATGCTGAACAGTTCAAAATGCAGTGGGTTTTTTTCAGGAAAGAAATATTCAAAACAACTCCATTTTGATTGTTTATATTTTATTTTACCAAAATATAAGTCCTGGAGTAAATGAATAATACATATTAGAATTCCATGAACACTTCTATGATGAAGCACTCAGGTAAACAGAATGTATATGGAATAATATGTGACAAAGATATAATAGTGAAACACACACACTCCTATACATATATATTGTAATGAAAACAAAATTGCAGTGTGAAACAATTCTTCTCAAGACCAGTACCAACTGAATGATTTCTCTATTTCTTAGGAAGACCTCTCATTCTCTTTATGTGTTAACTATCAAAAGGTCCCAAGCACGTTAATTCTTTTTTTATAAACAGAAAGGTTGAGGCTACAATGCTTCTTTTTACGTTACATGGGGAATGCTTAAGACTTTGGTAATCACAGTCAATTTTCACAACAAATATTTAGCTTGAATAAGACAATTATTGCATTTTTCTTTTTGCCAAAATCAATGACAAGGGTTTATTACATGCATGTGTTTAGATTTTTTGGAATGTACATGTTCTAAAAAAAAAAACTAAATACAGTGCATATTTGAATAATTTTCTCTGCCCCTTAAACATTAACATTTCAACAAAAACAAACATTTAACACCATGAGACAAAATGTTGAGATATTAATAGCACAAAATGTGAATACATTTCAATATACAAGTGATACACTGATGCTGCAAGGCTTAAACCAATTGGGGAAAAAAATACACAGAATATGAAAATAATCCTCTGTTGAATTGGAATAAATGGGTTACCAAAGTTAGACTGATATAAATGCAGTGCTTTACAAATGGAATCTTTTGAAACATTGAAATTGCTTCATTGCTACAAGACTGTTTTAATCTTGGCAAAAAACGGAACTAACTGAATCAGTAAAGAATTGTTCCAAGTAGACATTTATTATCTAATGCGTAACTACTACTGTGTCAACTTTCTGAGAAACTAATCATTGGTTTAATCAGTGCATTCAAAAGAAATGAACACATTTTCTGCTAAAGGAAAATTCTCCACTTTGTATCAGCCTTCAAATACCCACGTGAACTTACGTCATTTAAAAATCTCCTAGTATGTATAAATAATTATAGCAGTTCATCACCAATCCTAAAACTATAATAGGCACTGGAAAAAGAAAGAAGGAATCCAATACATGGACATATTTGATTTGTCTTTTATGGCAAGAAAGACACATGAGAGAATTCTTCAGAACTAATTCAATAACCTTTTAAATGAGATGATTAGAAAAACTAAGTCCCATTTCTTTTTAACACATTGCTTTATTTCTGTTGGGAATGTTGATCATTTCACAAACATATATAGACTCAACATGAATTTTGAGTGGCCAAAAAATAAGTGCAGTGCATTAACACACTGAGCAGGAAAGTTATCTTGAACATGTACAATGTTGTTTTGTGAGTAAGGTGTCTATTTTAGCAAAATTGGAGTCCAATAGGTTTTTTTTTAAAAATATAATTTACAAACCTTCTTCTGTATTTTCCAAATAATTACATTCAACAAATGACAAGTGAGTTAAAAATTTATCAATGAAGCTACTGGAATGTTTGCATGAAAAGCAACTGATACAATTCTACACAAAATGTTTCAGATGATTATAGCTTATTAATGAAAAATTAAGCCATGACTGTTGTAGAAATAGAATCCCCATGTAGATTGATATTAACAAAGACACCTGCTCTCTTTATTTACAGTGTCTGATGAAACATACTATTTTTCTCCTTCAGAACAACACTATATTCTTACCATGGCAAATTTTCAAATCACAGTGTGCCATATATATCCACGCATATGTCTGCATTGTAAATACACCGAATGCTTTATGCATAATATACACCATATATCTCTTTAAACAAAAATTAACATAATATCTAAATGCACATGGAAATGGGCCTCACATTTTCTGCAGCATGTTGACTTTGGTTGCGAAATCCATTTGTCTACTCTTTTTGGGGTCCTGTTTCCTCTTGTTTGCTAGGTATTCCCTCATCTCCTTAGCCGACATTCCCATCATTGGGTCACTGGAATTGGATGCGGTGCCGTTGGCAACAAGTTGGGGGGCCTGGTTAGCAGGTTTAGAGGCCAATGGAGCCGGTGATTCCTGTCAAAGAATTTCAAAGTTAGCACACCTCCCAAATATAGTAAAATTAGCATGTAGTACAGGATTTTTTTTTTAATTCACATATAAATTCACGATATATAATACTGATAGCGACAAGATATATCAACATATTGACATTCTTTCAATGTATGTGTGTGTACCTGTTGGATGTACAAGTACCAGTTAGTGTTTTAGAAGTTTATACGCTTGTCCATACTTACTGATGTCCCATTGACTGGAGTAGGGGTTGGAGCTGGCGCTGAACCTGGAACAAAAAATTAAAGTGTTTAATTTTATATTCATGTGAATAACACTCAAGACACATATATAAAATTAATCAAAAAATACATTAAAAAATTTAAAGCCTAACATCTAAAATTAAGTTAAATTGTGTCACAGAAAGAGCTGAACACCCTCAGGTTCAAAGCTGGAATTTATCCGCTTAGGACCATTAGTCTGTAAGTTTGGTATGGATATCCCAAGAGAGATCTATACCAATGACAGTAACAAACCAAACTTAGGTCTACAGACAATGTAGTATTCCATTTGTATAATGTCTCTTAAACTTCTTTGCAGGGGGGGTGTTACAATTTCATCCTTAAAACCTTCACTTATTCATTTCAGCAGAACAGGTTAATCATAATATTACCTTCCATTGCTTAGCAGATACAGAGGGGTAAAATACTGTTTTTTTCTGATAAATGAAAGAAAATTGAGATCAGTTCCCAGGGAATAATTAGATGTATTACCTACGGTTTTACCCATATATAACTACATTTATGGCATTGCCAAGTACAAGCTTCATCCGATGAATAAAGGTACATCAACAGACCATGTACGTACTGTAAGCAAATGTTGTGACTTATTGAAATGGCAAGAACAGATGCCAGGCTTGTTAAACAAGTATATGATATACTTTTCCCTAGAGGAAAGTGAAATTAAATCTTGTTTTTCCTTCCTTGCAGTGTCTATATATTAAAATCTATTAATATAATTCTTCACATTTCCTACGAGCCTGATTGCAATGTTTATTGTACATCTGAATAGCATTAGCATTATACTGGGATATGCACTAAGGATATGGTTACAGTAGAATATCATAAAAGTAAAACATGCTCATAAATAATGAAATGTAATGCTGGATGAACAATTTTGCTTCATTTTAAATTTTAGATATTTGTATGACTAACAGACAAAATCTGCAATATGTATGTTGTAACAACTGTTCATAACACAAGTTGGGGACAAATTCCTTGCCTCTTCTCTGCCTAAAGGACTTTAATTTGCAACTCATTTCCATTTGACATCATTTGTAATTAAAATTAGAAGAGCAACAGGTTTCAAAATTTTGACATATACACTAAAAAACAGCTGGTAATTTCAATATATTCTGGCCATATCTTTAAAATAATGTTTCTTTGCATTCTTCCGACTTGGAGTAAAAGAATTGGGTCTGTATGTAGGTTGACAAATATTTTTTTCCTTCGAAAATGTTAACCATATGCCAGGATGTGAAAATTCCGGACTGTAAGGGGAAAAAATCCCAGGACTTTGGGAAAGTTTTTAAATTGGTCCATTTTTAACCTGAGCCAGGCAACAATTTCTTTATAGATCGTCTCACAACACTCTCCTTAGAAACAAACACGTTTCTACAGATCTTCACAGGAAATTGTGATTTTACATACGTATTATCTGTGTGTAAGTGAAAAATCACAGAAGATGTCCATTATCAGATAGCTATATAGAGGTGCCCATTGTTTTGGAGAGGATTTGATAACGTGATAATGAGTACTGATTACTAACTGGTACCACAGGTCAAGTCTACCGTCACCCATACTCAGTGACAAATTCTGCACTGTCAAACACAGACATTTTTATGCTTCTCAGTTTGCAGAAATCTGTTGTTTATGCACAGACACATGATACAGAGTTTACAGACCATAAAATGATCCTAAGGGACCTGCATCACCATAAAGTACAAGGGTAACAACTAACATTAAACCTAAAACATGCAAATAGACGTGTACGATAAAACTACTGTGGTAAATAGTTACGCAGCTTTTTTATAAATATTTTCTAGCTTATTTTATAAGAATCTCTGGTACTCTTTTTTAATTATTCAAGAAGCATGATAAGGGTCCACTTCCTAAAATCCTTTAATAATGTTAATTTCTAAACTTATAATTTAAAGAAATATTGGACTATACAACTATGATTGACAATATTTAATCACTTTTTTCTAGCAATGATTTATCTAATTTCTAAATTGTACAGGGTTTACATTGTTTATCCTCAAACTTTACAAATGACAAGCATTTACTATGAGATTGGGATGTAGCCTATATTGTCATCAATGTTTTATCTATTTATCTGATCAAACTTGGAATTTCCAATACTTATACACAATTTTCAAAAAATGATTTGGTTAATTAAGGAAGTTTATAAAAAATAAAAAATCACTGTCTAGTTCTAGCAGATGAATTAAGTAGGGAAGTGCCAATACATAATATCATTAAACAAGAGGCCCATGGGCCACATCGCTCACCTGAGCACTAAAGGTAGGAAAAAGTAGAAAATGGCTTTTTATTGTAAAGTTTAAATCCAAAAGTAGTCCCATGACCAATCATGGATTTGCTTTTTTTTAGAAAATGATTTTTAAAGAATCTTTATCTTTAAAAACTTTGGTCGGCCATTTTGGCCCCGCCTACCCCTGGGGGTCATGATTTGAACAAATTTGAATCTACAATACTTGAGCATGCTTCCATATATAAATTATAATATGATGAATTATGGCTTTGTCATTCTTGAGAAGAAGATTTTTAGAGAATTTTCCTATATATTTCTATGTAAAACTTTGGTCGGCCATTTTGGCCCCGCTCTACCCCCGGGGGTCATGATTTGAACAAACTTGAATCTACACTACCTGAGCATGCTTCCATATAGATATGATGAATTATGGCTTTGTCATTCTTGAGAAGAAGATTTTTAAAGAATTTTCCTATATATTTCTATGAAAAACTTTGGTCGGCCATTTTGGCCCCGCTCTACCCCCGGGGATCATGATTTGAACAATCTTGAATCTACACTACCTGAGCATGCTCCCATATAAATATGATGAATTATGGCTTTGTCATTCTTGAGAAGAAGATTTTTAAAGAATTTTCCTATATATTTCTATGTAAAACTTTGGTCGGCCATTTTGGCCCCGCTCTACCCCCGGGGGTCATGATTTGAACAAATTTGAATCTACACTACCTGAACATGCTTCCATATAAATATCATGAATTATTGCTTTGACATTCTTGAGAAGAAATTTTTTAAAGAATTTTCCTATATATTTCTATGTAAAAGTTTGGTCGGCCATTTTGGCCCCGCCCTACCCCGGGGGGTCATGATTTGAACAAATTTGAATCTACACTACCTGAACATGCTTCCATATAAATATCATGAATTATGGCTTTGTCATTCTTGAGAAGAAGATTTTTAAAGAATTTTCCTATATATTTCTATGTAAAACTTTAGTCGGCCATTTTGGCCCCGCTCTACCCCCGGGGATCATGATTCGAACAAACTTGAATCTACACTACCTGAGCATGCTTCCATATAAATATGATGAATTATGGCTTTGTCATTCTTGAGAAGAAGATTTTTAAAGAATTTTCCTATATATTTCTATGTAAAACTTTGGTCGGCCATTTTGGCCCCGCTCTACCCCCGGGGGTCAGGATTTGAACAAACTTGAATCTACACTACCTGAGCATGCTTCCATATAAATATCATGAATTATGGCTTTGTCATTCTTGGGAAGAAAATTTTTAAAGAATTTTCCTATATATTTCTATGTAAAAGTTTGGTCGGCCATTTTGGCCCCGCCCTACCCCCGGGGGTGATGATTTGAACAAACTTGAATCTACACTACCTGAGCATGCTTCCATATAAATATGATGAATTATGGCTATGTCATTCTTGAGAAGAAGATTTTTAAAGAATTTTCCTATATATTTCTATGTAAAACTTTGGTCGGCCATTTTGGCCCCGCCCTACCCCCGGGGGCCATGATTTGAACAAACTTGAATCTACACTACCTGAGCATGCTTCCACATAAATATCATGAATTATGGCTTTGTCATTCTTGGGAAGAAGATTTTTAAAGAATTTTCCTATATATTTCTATGTAAAAGTTTGGTCGGCCATTTTGGCCCCGCCCTACCCCGGGGGTCATGATTTGAACAAATTTGAATCTACACTACCTGAGGATGTTTCCCCATAAGTTTCATCTTTCCTGGCACAGTGGTTCTTGAGAAGAAGATTTTTAAAATATGCCACCAAATTTTCATTAATACCCAATTATCTCCCCTTGAATGAGGGCGTGGCCCTTCATTTGAACAAACTTGAATCCCCTTCACCCAAGGATACTTTGTGGCAAGTTTGGTTGAAATTGGCCCAGCGGTTCTTGAGAAGAAGTCGAAAATGTGAAAAGTTTACAGACAGACAGACAGACGGACAGCTAGACGGACAGACAGACGGACGCCGGACAAAATGTGATCAGAAAAGCTCACTTGAGCCTTCGGCTCAGGTGAGCTAAAAACCAACGATAATATATATTGTAATTTTTTTTTAACCATGTTTTACACTACTGCATGGGTATTCATGGAAAGCTAACAGTAAGTTTCTACATTAACACAAAATTCAGCATTTTAAATTATCTCAGTCTAATTAAAATTAGATGTTAGATCCGCTCGCATACTCATCTAACAACATCCCATAGAGGGTCGTGTCAGAGGTCAAATTCGGAACAACTCTAGACATATTCGCTTCACCAATATTCAATGTTTTTGCAGGCGACAATTTGATTGGTTGATAGAATTTGACCTCTGACGTGACCCTCTACTGGATGTTGTTATATGTTAGTGTAGCGAGTATGTGAGCAGATCTAACATCTAATTTTAATTCGATTGAAATTATCTGCAAGTGTTTTCGAAAAAGAAACCACTGGGACAGACAGTGAGACAGAGGGGGCATTAAACTTGAAAAATCATACTTAATCAAAATTTTAAAAAATAACATCTGATACACTATATTCCATAATGAATTTTGACCTCCTGATCCAAAATCTTAAATACCTTATCATACATAATCAGTATTTTTCAATACATGTATGTAAAATAAAAAATTTTCTTACCTCCCCTGGCAGGATTTGATAGTGGGGTGACCATGGGTGATGAATTGCTAATGGATATTCCATTCTTTTTGAAGTAAGCATCACTTTCAGGATCCACAACTAACAATTTGGTTTCATTCCCTCCTGCCTTGACTCTCTCTATCACTTGCCTATGGCTCTCAGATTCAATATTTGCACCATTGACTTCAATAATCCTATCTCCTTCTTGTAGGCCTGCTGCCTGGGCAGGGGATCCGTCATCTATGGTTCCGATAAACTGACCTGGTCTGTCCCGCTCTGCATGGAGATTGAACCCGTATCCCTGGAAGTCGGGCCATTTAGTTACGTGACAAAGTCTAGCGATATATTTACTATCTGGCTCCGTATTGGTGACACTATTGACTGTAATCACAGTTGCCTCTGGTTCACTGGGTTCCTCATTTTCTTTGTTGGTTTCTGGTTCAGGAGAGGGCTCCCTCTCTGGTTCGGGTGAAGGCTCCCTCGGTGGTTCTGGTGTTGGTTCGCGTTCTGGTTCAGGCGAGGGCTCTCTCTCTGGTTCAGGGGATGGTTCTCTTTCCGGTGAAGGTTCCCTGGCCTCCTGGGGCTCAGGCGTAGGTTCAGGTTCTGAAATCATATTTAAAAAGGTATAAATTTCCTTCCAACCTAAAAACACAGATTTGCACAGGTTCTAATGCTATGCATCTGAACAGAACAAATAACAATCTCCGAGTGTCTATTCCATCATTGATAGACAGGCAGTGTTTCTGGGAAAGGTTGTGGAATGATATTGTGGTCACTTGTAATAGTAGACAGTCAACATTTATTCATCGATACAAATGATATAAATGACTTTTACTGGCACATTTTTGACTAATATACTAATTCCTGACTTGGAATACAAAGGAGGCTTGCAAGAAATGCTGGCAAAGTATTAAGGAAAGAATAACAACCAAGGAAAACTTCCTACCAAGAGGTACTCACTCATAGGGTATGTACATGTTCTTTTAAATATATTAAGACTGCTTCAATTAATCAGAACGACCAAAAAACCTTCAACAATTTTCTGAATTAACAAAATTAAGTGTATCTATCGGTCTATAATGCATTTTTACCACAGAGAATAAAAATTCGAATTATATGTGCATTCAATATAGGAGGATTTACAAAATTCCCAATATCTTACTTAATATTAGTGATGAAAATAGACATGATTATAGTCTTGTTTTTCTGCCAAAGGAGCAAATAATAAAGGTTTTAAAAATTCATAAAATTTGAATAATCAAAAATCACAATTGAAGGCATGAAATAAAAATATTGGTTCGTATTTACATGTTGAATACCAGGTTACACTGTATGCCAATACTAGTTTTATGAGTTATTGTTCCTTGCCCAGGGATGTGTATCAGACTTGACCTACTCAATGGTGTACTACTTTTGAGTTTGCCTTATAAAGCTAATCAGAAAGTGCATAAGCCTATGTGTTATGATTCATATAGAATAGTGTTATCTTGGATAAACAGTTCTATAATTCACAGATTTGGCAAAGTCAAAAAGACAACAGTGTGCTTGGTTAAAATGGAATGCATTTTTATCTCGTACAATTTTCTTGGGTTGCAAGCCCCTTATATCATCATTTTAAAAATTTTAGAGGGTAAATAAATGTACCAAAATTACCTATCTTAATTCTTTACAAAATTATAAGGTAAACCCTGACAAGTTTTTCCCCTTTAAATCTTGAGATTTTTGGGCTGCAATTTTACCTTGAAATTAGCTAATTAATGTAATATTTTAATGGAACTTTTAAAGTAGACATACCTATGTCAATAAAATTCTCAACTGGACTCTTACCATTGAGACAAGGAAGTTTCACTCAGTTATGTTTTGGTTGCATTAGTTTGTTAAAACACTAATGTTTACCAGTACAAATATTTAACACTAAATGGTAACAACACTCTCAGCATCAAACATCAACAGCAATTTATTTTTTCCCCATTTGTCAATATAAATCCACATCATAATTAATTGTTTATACATGATAGTAAGCAGGGAGTCTCAAGATTCTGAAAGTTTACATGAAAACCAAGGAAGTGTGTGCAAATTAGGCAAAATAGAACTCAACATAGGAACTACAGAACAATGAATGAGGTTCAAAGACCCTAAATGATCATTTGCACATTGCATAATCTGTGATGTTTAATAAATGAAAATATTAAAAAGGTCTGATCATCAAAACACCGACAATTTTCACTTCAAAGTGTCGGGTGCTTATCAAAGGAACAATTGCTATCTATTTTTTGGTCAGTCATGTCCCTGATTTGAACATACAACCCTCTGATCACAAAACAAGCTCTCTATCGACTCAGCTTAGTGAGCTACTGTGACAGTAAAACTTTTTTAGTAGATATTGTCAAAGTTCTTGCACAACTGATACTTATGCATTTCTTGTGACTTATTTGTTACACAAATTCTTCACTTTTTTGCAAATGCATATGATAAGGAGGAAAATGTGAAAGCAATGGGAATTTTCATCTTGAACCATGCAGACAAAAATTACATTATTCTTCATACAAATATAAGGTTTTTATGCCTCTGTAATCAAAGATTTTGCCTGGTCCGTCCATCTGTTTGTCCGCAAAAACTTTAACCATGCCCATAACTTTTGAATGAGTGGGGCTATAGCTTTCATTTTTAACTTGTGACAAGACCTTTCACAAGATTACCAGTGATTACATTGGTTACAAATTTGACATCACTGCCATGAAAAAGGAGATACAGCTTTTAAAAATTGGATGAAAACCTTAGGAGCTCACAACCAATAAAGTCAATAGAAATCACTCTATTGACCAAGCCATGTGGCACTACTTTCGTTTTCGATCATCGCGGGAAACCCACTATTAACCTATAGTTTAAACCATGTCATCAAACATTAACCTTATTAGTTATAGACATAACTTTTGAATAGTTGATGGAAGGGCTTTCATACTTCACATGTGTATTCATTGTGACAAGACCAATATTTTTTTACCTTTTGACCTTGACCTTAGAGTTTTACCCACTTTTAAAAAACTTAAATCTTGACCACATCTTTTGAACAGTTAGTACTAGGGCTTTCATATTTCACAGGTTTATTTCTATGACAAGACCTTCCTTTGGATACCAACATTTTCTACCTTGACCTTGGAGTTTGACTTGCAGTTGAGAAACTTCAAAACTCGTCATATAAGCTGCCATTTGGGGGCATCAGTGTTTCACACATTTTGTTTTTTAAGGTTTGAAAACCTGTACCTGACGGCTAATACTTCCAAGAATTATACAAAATTTGCATGGATTGTACAAAAATTCAAAATTTCAATCACAGTACCTTTAAAATTTCAGATACAATAAAATTCCTTGCATACAAATGATTAACTGCAACCTTGTGGTTCTTATTTGAAAAGGTCACTTCTATGCTTTTCTTTGTTAAAAAAATCATCTTTTTTTTCATGACTTTTTTACATTATAAATATACTTATATAATTCCTTGATCATGGTGATTGAGAAAACTTATATTTATGACACAAAATTCTTTTCATATGAAAAAAAATTTGTGGACCAAATTTCTGAAGAATAACTTTTATTTTAAACTATTTAATGATTTCCCCTTTAAGAGATCAAGATCAAATTTTTAAATTTAAAAATTCCCTTTATACAGGGATTGATCTAAAAGTAAAAAGCACACAATGTTACTTTTTTTATATATCATTCATTCAATTGAAGCATAAAAATTTTTTTAGTTTCACTGACATTACAAACATTTGTAACTTTTGAAACAAAAACATGCTTATATTCATATGGGGATAGCTTTGATCAAATACATACAGAAAACATAGCTCTCTTTATGAAGCAAAAATTTGCTATAATTTTTTTTTTTGTAGACCAAATTTCTCCCCAGCTTTAAAAATGGTATTTAATAATAAATCATACTTTTATTTAAAACGCTAACAAATGGCTATTTTGGTTAAATGAATAAACTGACATTACAAAACTATATATATACAGGACTGTTTCAGACCATTAAAAGGTAAATAAAATTTAGTAAAGTATCAAAAATAGTTTAATATATAATTTATTATAGGATACAATTCTAAAAGCCAGAGAAAGTTTAAACTACACAAAATAAATACCTAGAGAAGCAACCAAAAATCAAGCACACAATGTGGATCTAGAGTGCAATTTTTATATATCAGTTCATTCAGTGGACCAAAAAATATAGAAACAACTCAATACTTTTTACAATAGGACATAAAAAATTTTGATAGTGTATTTTTTTTTTGTCCGTTTCATATATGGTTACAAAAAATCTCAATTTTTGACTTTTTTGTTCAGTTTTTGAATATTTATCAAATCATTCAGGTTTTTAGCATTAATACAACAAGCTACATAATATTATTAAAATCTGTAGAATTAACATCAACAGTCAGTTTATTCTAATTAATTCCTTGTCAATTTGGCAGAATTTGCAAATTTAAAGCGAGATAATGCAAGTTACCTGGTCTGTATCCCCCCGTCAATCAAATAAATTAAGGTCCATCAGTGAAAATGATTGACATTTACTTCTTTGTATATCTCTTTCACCTTGTTTGACACGTGTGGCCAACATCAAATTAACTTTGGTTTTCATTTACCGCTAAATCACCATCGCAATAATTTGATCAAATACTTGATTATAATTGATTATAATTATCTGTATTACAAACATTGAAAAATGAAAATGTTCTCATAGTGTTTCAATAAAATAAATCAAGATTGTGTAATTTTTTTCCTAATGAAAAGTGTATAGGTGACTGAAATCTTGTTTTCACTCGTAAAACGATCATTCTTGTTTTGAGATGCGGCGAAAAAATTATTATTAAAATAAAGGAGAAAATAAACTGGTAACTTAAAATGGATACTTGAAAACAAAATGTCTGATTAACTGGACAATAGGACTTTTTTATAAAAACAATTCACAAGGTCACAGGTGTTAAAAATAGTTTTGAAAGAAATACAGAAGTTAGCAATAAATCAATATTTTGTTTTAAGTTTTTTAATTATAATCTCAATTTTCGATAAATTACAAGCATTTGTATTATGACCATCGTTATGGCGAAAAAAAATACTCAATTTTTACAAACGGGAAGCAACTGTTTTTTTTGTGCTACAATACTTACGATAATTATTAATAGTATTTAAGTTTTTGAAAGGGACAGGGAATTTTACTGTTGAATTTATCAACCGGTATTTCATTTTTTTCGAACTCGATCAAGTCATTGCTTGTGACGAACAATAATACAACAAGCTGCTGATATTAATATTGAAATTAAAATTTATGATCATTTATTATTACTAGTGATATTTTTTATCCCAGTCAGATCTACTAATTTTATGATGAACAGTGGGCCAGCAAACTGTGATTAACTTCCTGTGTATACTGTTTGTGTATAGAGAACTTGGCAGAATTTGCAAATCAGTTAAGACACCTGCATGGTGCAGTGGTTAGAGTGTTTGCTCTCAAGTCACAGAATTAATTCTGTAACATTGCAAGTTTGAATCCCACTGCAGGACATGAGAGACTGGTCTTTACAAAAGAACTAAGACCAACATTTATTCTGCTTATAACTTTCTTAATTGGATGAAATTGAAAATGATTTATAATTTTTTCACAGTAGGATAGCTTGCATTAATTTGAAAAATTTGAATCTCTAGAGTATTTGCTTACTTTTCCTCTGAATTCTAATTGTAGATGTACTTATCTAATCAACTACATTGTATATTCAACATGAACATGAATGCCTTTTATTATTAAAATTTTTTTTAAAAACTTTATTTTTAATTTCATGCATTCACGTATTATGGTTCCGAATGCATGTTTAATAAAAATTAAAGCCACAATTCCCACCTGTACAGTTTTCAAGAATGACTTATGAGACACCCCTCATAACCCTCTCACATGTCAGTGGAACCTAGGGCTGACATCCAGACTATATACCAGTAATTTCTACAGGATTGTTAGAATCATTAGGTAACTAAATACATGTATGTTCAATTTATCTAGTGTGTAAAAATTTTCTACATAACTATAAAACTATAAATTAATTTTTTCTATAGAGTGTCACAAATTTAGTGAATACAAAATAATATGTACAATTAATCTAACAGGAAATGTTTGCTAAATATACTTTCCTTACAACTTAAAAATTTAAGGTTTCCCTATAAAATATGACACGCTATAAAACTATAAACTGAATCAAGTTACATACGTCTGGCTTACTTCAGAGTGTCACAAATTTAGTGAACACAAAATAATACAATTAATCTAACAGGAAATGTTAGCTCTTTTATCAAATATAATACACTCGGGGAATAGTTCCCTGTCGCGGGTTTGATAAAAGAGCTATCCCACTCACAACCATTGGATAAGTGTATACTATTATTTAAGTTCTTCCTCTATTGTACGTGCCATACGACAAACCCCTGCCCATCATAATGACTCTATCAGTTATTTCAAAGTGTATAGTATCTCCTTTCATAATTCAGACATGTCAACAATTGAAAAGCTTGCCGAGTTTTTAAAACGTCTTTACAATATACAGCTTCATTGAGAGACGTGGGATGGGCGTTATCTGGGAGACTTTAATCCAGTTTGGGGTACAATTTTTAGCCGTGTACAGACTTGTCTTCTTCTTATCAATCACTCCCCCTGACCTTTTTATCTATTCTATGTAAGCTGTCCTAATAGTTAACGAGTGCAATTCTTAGGTATATTTATCAATAATAAGATTAAATTCTACCTACATGTATTACCTGCATATAGAAAAGGTAGATGCGAGTGAGAGAAATTCTGGGAGGTAGAATTTACTCTGCAACTTTTGTCAATCAAGAATTCTCGTGAGAACATTATATATGCCCTCTGTTATTTTCAATTTTCATTATATACTTCTGTGGTTTTACTCTTATTTTTAAATATCCAAGTGTAATTTGTGTAAAGAATTTCAAATAATTATAAAACTTCTGTAATCTGTAGGAATTAATTGACTGGAAAAAATTGGATACAGGATATTTTACAAATGTTGAAAAACTTTAACTTTTAAATCATATAGATCTATATGACATCTATGTGATCTAGCATTTAATACTGACATTTTTCTTCTGTCTTTGAACAGTCTTTAATATAAAGTGCCTTCTCACATGAAAACAGAGGGGAGATTATGTCACACCTGAATGCCCATCAAAGAAAATTTATACAAATATTCACTACGAATGTCTTATTTAAAAGGCATCACAGATCTGTCATATCCTGCACTGCTGAACACTCTGAAACACGCCAAGGAATATGGGACCATTCTCCACACCTGCGTGCCACCACATAAATTCATTTTATGCAAAGTAAATGATTCCTGTTCTACGAAAACCTTGGTATTTAAAAATAAAAACAGCCCTGATGGTTTAATGTGAGAGGTTGAAATAAAATTGGAAATAAAATTGTGTGTAAGAGAGAAAATGAGAGAGATGTGTTTTTTACACAGCACTCAGTGACATCTTTGGAAGCCACTCCTACAAATTAGTTGCCCCCAAGGACAATGTAGAATATCCTCATTAATACCTGCTGAATTTTCCTGGCTTTCACCTCTCTCCGCACTTATTTTGACAACTTCAGGAAGATCACTCCTCACAATTTGTTTAATGTCTTTATAATAAGAGTCCGTTTCCTGATCCACCACTAAAAGATTTACTTCGTCACCAAGCGACTTGATCCGCCCCACAACTTGCTGGTGGTTTTCGTTACCTATATTAGTTCCATTAATTTCAACGATTCGGTCCCCTTCCCTTAGACCCGCAGCTTCTGCTGGGGACCCCTCGTCCACTTTCCCTATGAATTGTCCCGCTTTACCTCTCTCGGCATGCAAGTTAAATCCATACCCCTGAAAGTCGGGCCATTTTACCAAATGACACAATCTAGGCTTGTGATCAGCCATGACTTATTTGATCAAAAATATATAAATCCACTTAAAAAAAGTTCACACTTTTTCCGTAACGGGCACCTGCAAGTTGACACTAAACATCAAGCGAAGAAAATGGCGTCGATCTATGTGGACACGTGATTAGAGTTAACCAATGACGAAAGCTAGTTGAGATTTCAGACAGGTATTCACAGGTATATATCAAAAGAGCATTTCGCCATAGGTGCAATTTAAAAAAAAGTGTGACACTTTTTCACATTCATTTTCGATAAACATTTTGATACAAATCTTGGCCACAGAGAGCTAATCAAGTGAGACAAATGGACGTTATTTATAAATTGACATTTCAATTTTCGCAATTTAACTAATCCTAATCGTGGAACTATGTGTACTGGTTTAATTGCAGAACTTGTGTGCTGTAATGTAAAAAATTGTTAATGTACACATGTATGTGAACATTCTTAACGTAGACAAATCCAATAAACAATGATAAATCAATATACGTACAGTAACAATGCATAGCCGCTAGCGAAGGGAAAATAGCAATATCTTATTTACTTACTTTATGATAAGAAGGATCTAAGTGAAATATACACACCTATAATAGTACATAGGTCTTGAATAATGATGATGTTAACGATGGTCAAATATTTAATTATTTCCAAAAAAAAATGCTATCAGAGCTATACATATAGAATGGGGGGGGGGGCAATGTCTGCATGATGTTCACACTATATAGGGATTCTTAGTCAATTTAAAAGTTAAAAACTACCGTAAATTAGTGAAGTAACCGAAAATCACCATGGATCTATCCCCAGGAACAACAGACTCTTCGTCAGTTTAATGAAAAAAAGTAAATTAAATATTTATTTGTTAATTGACAAACCAAGGGTGTCAATGGACATTTACGATTCTATCGGTATAAACTACTACATTATATAAAGTACACTATAAAATATAAATAAATTCTACAACTGGAATTATAAAGTAATAAAAGCACCATTGCTTTACACATAGACATAAATAATGGGTTGAATACATGAAGTGCATGGGTACCAGCGATCGAACGATGTCTGTGCACAGACTATCTGAATGGCAAACATTTACTGTTGCAGTATTCAAGACACTCATTCAAATTCAAAAGTTATATAGGAAGGAAGCAAAAATGTCCATTACAAATAATCATGTACATTAATTACACAAAAAGATGAAAAAAGCAGCTTATCCTCGAGAAGAGACCCCCTAATCCGAAAACCGTTAATATACATGCGTGGGTGGGTGGGGGTGTCCTTAAAATCGATTTTTGGGGAATATGTTTTGAAACCAACTCCCTAACTTCCAAATGCCGGAATGTACTAATGGGTAGGCTAAATTACATTTGAACAAAACCAACTGTGAAAACATGACTAGTTTGTATTACAAGTGAAAAAAAAAAAACAATCAGAGATTGCCGCAAAAAAAAAATCTTGTTTTATATAAAACCTGTAAATAATATGCTTGCATTACAATGATATTTTTTTTGTTAAGGATTAAGGAGAAAGAGAGCAGAGAAAGAGTTCTATAAGTTATTGAAAAAAAGAGAAAAATATTTGAAGATTTATACATGTACCTGAGATGGAGTCATCCATGTTTGAGGACGGCGGAGATCTGACTAACAAGTTTTACGGAAGCTTTTCACTGTTTACGTTTTATTTTTTTTTCGATCGGAGCTGCAGGACAAATTCTAAAATGTTTTTGTCGTCTATCTTTGTGCATACATTTGCATACAAGGCTTAACTAAATTGCACAAACTTTAGCACAAAAGTTTTCATTTTGATAAACGATCGAAATAATAGTCCGTTTCCCTCAGATGAAAAAATAAGAAGTGGGCATTGAAAGGAAGCTCCGAACTACTTTAAAGTAAAAGGGAGAAGTTATTTATTGTGTGGGTGAATCATTAATCTTTGCATTTTTTTAATAACCCCTCCTCTTTTTATGGTAGCGTTTTGTTCAAAGAAAGATAACCCGTACAGTATGCGGTTTTCAGAGAAGGGGAAAATAAAAAAAAGTTTAATAAAAATTCACACCAGACATCCCAGGTAGCACAACAACGTTATTAAAACGTTATAAAAACGTTTTCAAAATGTTACAAAAACATTTTCTAAAACGTTATTACAACGTTATTTTGTATGGTTTTTTAAACGTTATCATAACGTTTTTCAAAAACATTGTCCTTCAATGTTTAGAAAACATTATAAAAACGTTTTCAAAACATTTTTTAAAACGTTTTCAAAACATTTTTTAAAACGTTTTCAAAACATTTTTTAAAACGTTTTCAAAACATTTCTAACATGTTTTAAAGAATTAAAAAGTACAAAAAAAGTTATTGTACTTCCTACGGTTTTAATTGGTTTAAACCATTTCACAAATGTAATCCATGAACTTTTTTAACATCCGCACAGTCAATAATATAGTCTTCTTAACATAGAAGATTTGTCACAATTGAAATTAGAAAAAAAATCACAATATCCTTCCTTTGAAAATCATTCGTTTGGCACTTGGACTTCTTTGTTTTCTTCTGAAAAACAAGGATATAGAGAATAACTTTAGAATATTTACAAACTATACATAGTCATAAATAAGATAATTACAAAGAAATGTGTATGTTCTACTGTTATATAAAATATATACTAAATAAATCTATTTCCATAATACATTTTTGTCAGGAGACTTCAAACATACCTTAAAGTATTAATACTCCTGTAAATCCCTCAAGGATGGTGTGTAGCAAAACCTCATTATGCCCAATCCCTCTCATAACATGTAATCTTTAAAAAGGTACCAAATAATATTTGGTATTTGCAAACAGCCGCTGTAAATGAAAAATTATATTCATGTGAAGAATTGTAAAATGAAAAATATATACATGACACTGTACATAAATAGAAATTGGTTTACATATCCGAAGAAGTATAGTTAACCAACTCCATCGTTAAGCCCCCCCCCCCCCCCACACACACACACACACAAACTCACCCTACATATCATGTTTTGAAGCTTTCAAGTTGAAAATCTCTCTCTAAGCCTGGGGTGATTATACTAAAGTACACATTAATAAAGAAAACTCACACTAGACACAAGTCACAATACATATGTAAATGCACAATCATGATAAACTTCCATGATCAGTTTACTTCAAAAACAACCAATTAACCGCCCTCAAATATCCAGGAATGTATACAATCATTTACAAGGAATGATTTAGGCTTGTACAAACACATGCAACTATAATCATGATAGTACTTTTTCTTTATACATGTATACACAATGAATACTACTTTAAATTCAACATACCTTACGGTGATGTAAAATATTCCCTAAATCCTGTTCTTTGTCTTTCAAGAAATTTTCAAATTCTTGATAAGTTGACCTATATAGATCACGTGGAAATAGTTTATTTCATCAGCACTGACTACGGCATCCCGCTGTGTCAATCAATTAACTTTTGATAAACGCATTATCCAGGAGGAAACAACATAAGCGAATAAATGCACAGCAGTACTTTGTTGAACTACATCACATCTTAGAAAAAATACCTTAAAACGGCTTTTTATACATTTTTTCACAATGTTTATTTTTAGGAATTCAATGTGGCATTTAAAACAATTAAAAAGAAGAACTAAATTAAATAAAAATTGGTTTAAATTTATTTTTCCATATTAGGCTTTAAAAGATATCACAAAGAAATTAATAACACAAAAAAGGAAATACCACAGGTATTTTTTTAAGAATTGAAATATAGAGATGTTTGCTGCTTCTATAACGTTTTAACAATGTTTTCCAAACATTTTAAGACAACGTTATATTTATGTTTTCTGGTATCATTTGTAATTAAAATTTATAATAAATTTCATTCAATTTAAAAATAAATATTCTTAAAATTTGAGTCAACCTACACAGCGCTCTGTGTATATTCTTAAAAATATCATAGTATGAATTTTTATAATATTTTTTCCCAATCAATCATGTCAATGGAATGTGAAAACTTTTGTATAATGTTTTTTTTAGCAATAAAAAATGATTCTTATTATCATTATAAAAATGTTATGCAAAAATGTTCTCTAAAAACTTCCTCCCAACCAGTAGTAAACGTTATGAAAAACATTTTAAAAATGTTTTTGAGAAACGTTTTCTAAAAACGTCATTATAACCTAGATAAAACGTTATAAAAACATTTTTCAAACGTTATGTCAAAAACGTTTTGGAATAACATTCTTACAACCGGAATATAATGTTATGAAAACGTTTTGTGCTACCTGGGATGTTGCTTCTTATACCCTTAATTGTATATAATGTAACTTAATACGCAAGGAATATATGAAACATATATTAATTACAGAAAACTTATCACAGAAATAATAAAAATTGCTTAAACATGAGAACAAAATACGAAAAGAGCATAGTACACTACGTTCACGTGCATAAAAAAAACCCGATAAATTATAGTTTTCTTTCAGTTAAACTTAATTAAAGTGATTATAAATAAATATACTTACGTTTGCTCGATCTATATTCATGTACATCCATGTTCAACCCCCTCTTAAATAATAACAATCATGACCAAGTTTATGAGGTTTTATATCAATCGACACAATTTTTAGGATACAAGTGATGTAAACCTGAAACCGCACTTCGATTTCAACGACTTACACAAGTAGTAGGAGGAAAAGTGTGGTTGTCCACTTTTATTTTGTCCCCTCATTTGAAGTGTCCCGTTTCCTCAGGTTTAGAGGCATAAGAACTTCTCACAAACATAATTATTTTCTTTTTTAGAGACTAGAAGAAGTACTATGAATAGTCCACGAAGAAGTCTGACACAGAGAAATAAAACCGAGAACGCCTTAGCAAAAAAGACCTACAAGTTCAACACTTTATCATCTTTCATGAAATTCACATATATTACAACTCTAATAGTACACTCAAGCATGTGCTTTAAAATCGTTTCAAGAGCTATTTGGTTTATTTTTCTTCGCTTTTTTTTCATACAGCACAAATGCATTTAGTAATATTGTCGTTTACTGATTTTTATTTGAAAATTAAAATAAGTACACGACTATTTTAATTTTCAAATAAAAATCAGTAAACGACAATATTATACTTTCATGTAAATTAGTTGAATCTGATTGGTCGAGAAACATTTGTTAAAAAACACATTTATGAATAATGAAGCCCCGCCCTCGAGCGTAGCAACAGTCAACATTGCTTGACGACGGGTAATATTAAAAAAAATAGCGACTGCGCAGAATTTATGCGCGCACGGATCACTGTTATATGTATTTGTATAAAACATTCAGTATGATATAATAAATATTGCATGTAGTTGAGTGTAACATTGAAAAATTTCACCCCTCGAAAACCATTGTCAACCTCGGATGCACCTCGGTTGACAATGGTTTTCTTGGGATGAAAATTTTCAATGTTACACTCAACTACATGTAATATTTATATATTTTAAATAATTTATTGCACTTTCACTACAGTGACGTGTATCAGGCCCGTAGAACGCGGGGGTGGGGGATCTGAATGCAGTCTTTTTTAATAAGATGCTGATATTGTCCACTTTCTGTAAGGCACTTGCAAAGAGCAATTCCAAATTCCGGGAATTGAAAAGAAGTACCAAAATATAGTAATTATTAAGACGTCCTAACCCTCTCTCAAATTCACGAAATAGGATTTTCGATGAGTTTTGATAATTAAGGGCAATAAAACTTTTTCTCTCTGTAGCGTCCACCCCTCTTTCAAAAACCAATCTACCTATTCTTAAAAAAAGTGGTACCCCGCTTTCGGTGTCTTTTTGGGTGAGATGTCATTTTTATGGCATATTGTGTCAAATACAGTGTATGAACGCCCTAGAATATGTCATTCAGAAGTTATCACCGAAGTTGATTTCTTTGAAAATTAGGTCAATCGTGAAGGTCAAGGGGCCACAAATCATAGCATGCCCGGAAATATCTTGTCACAGATTATGCACATGTCAAATATGAAAGCACTATCTTTTCTCAATCAAAAGTAATGAAATAATCAAATTTTTGAAAAGTAGGCAAAAGTTCAAGGACAGAAGATCAGAAACCAGAGTGTATTTAGAAAGATATTGTTGCAAGCAATACAGAGCTTTAAAATGAAAGCCCCATTTTGTCTCATTCAAAAGCTATGACCAAAGTTTTTGAAAAGTAGGTCAAACTTCAAAGTCAAGATCGTTAGGTCATAAATCATAGTATATTTAGAAAGGAATGTCACGGGTAATATGCATGTTCAATTTGAAAGTCCTATATCTTCTCATTAAAAAGTAAAGACCAGTTTTAAGTAATGTTTATTTTTTTAAAAATAGGTCAAAAGATCAAGATCAAGGCCACGGGGTCGAAAATCCTAGTTTATTTAGAAAGGTTTTGTCGCAGGCATTACACAGGTTTAATATGAAAGTCAATCTCTGCTCATTCAAAAGTCCTAACCATGGTTAAGTTTTTGAAAAGAAGGTCAAACTTCAAGTTCAAGGTCATGAAGTCAAAACCGTAGTGTATTTAAAAAGATCTTGTCACAGATAAAACAAATCTGTAATATGAAAGCCCTACAAAGTATCTCTTCTCATTAAATAGCTATGGCCGATATAAAGTTATGATTATTTTTTTTAAAGTAGGTAAAAATTCAAGGTCAATAGGTAAAAAATCATAGTGTATTAAGGAAGGTCTTGTCACAGGCAATACATGTGTTTAATTTGAAAGCCCTCTCTCTTTTCATTAGAAAGAAGTTGTGGCAAATTTTAAGTAATGTTTAATTTAAAAAAAAAAGGTCAATCTTCAAGGTCAAGGTCACGGGGTCAATAATCATAGTGTATTTAGAAAGGTCTTGCACAGGTAATATACAAGAATAATATGAAAGCACTATCTCTTCATTCAAAGATATAACCAAGGTTAAAGTTTTTGTGACGGACGGACAGAACTACAGACTGACAGACGAATGAGATTTAATGTCCCTCGCTTTCGCGAAAGCGGGGGACAAAAAAAAAAGATATGTTAATATTATATTTGTGAAACACTGATGCACCCGTATTATTTACATTGCAAATATTTAACTTTTCTTAAATGCAAATTAAATGTACCCAAAGTAAGGTTCTATCAGAAGAAATACAATATTGCGAAATATGAAAACCCTAGCTGTTCAAAAATTATGGCCAAGGATAAGTTTTTGAAAGGTAGGTCTAACTCCAGGGTCAAGGTCAAAGGATCAAAGTTGTTGGTTCCTAAAGAAATGCCTTGTCACAAGGATTACATTTGAGAAGCAAGAAAGCCCTATCCCTGACCGTTCAAAATTAAAGTTTTTAAAAAGTAGGTTAAAGGGTCAAAGTTCTTGGATCCAATGAAAGGTCTTGTCACAAGGATTAAATATGTGAAATATGAAAGCCTTATCCACAACCCTTCAAAGGTTATGGCCGAAGTTCGTTTTTAAAAAGTAGGTCAAACTCCAAGGTCAAAGGGTAAAAGTATTTGGTATCCGATGAAAGGTCTTCTCACAAGGATAACATGTAAAGTATGAAAGCCCTGGCCCTAATTGTTTAAAAGTTATGGCCGAGGTCAAAGTTTTTTTTTTAAAACTACATTAATCTCCAAGTTCAAGGCCAAAGAGTCAAAGTTGTTGGTTTCTAAGGAAAGGTCTTGTCAGAAGGATTACATATGTAAAGTATGAAAGCCCTAGCCCTAATTATTCAAAAGTTATAGTCATGGTTAATTTTTAAAAAGGAGGTTAAAAACACAAAGTTCAAGGTCAAAGGGTAAAAGTTTTTGATATCCAATGATAGGTCTTGTCACAAGAATTACATATGTGAAGTATGAAAATCCTAGCTCTTACCGTTCAAAAGTTATGGCCGAGGTTAACGTTTTTTAACGTAAGTAAATCTTCAAGGTCAAAAGGTCAAATTTGGTGGTACCTAAAAAAGGTCTCGTCAAAAGGAATACCGGGTACACATGTGAAAAATGAAAGTCATAGCTCGACTAAATCAAAATATATGGGCAAGGTTAAAGTATTTGCGGACAAACAGACAGACGGACGGACGAACACGACAAAAACTATATACACCCAAATCTTCGATAGCGGGGGCATGAAAACACCAACAAAGTAAAACACAGACGTTATAGTCATAAAAGTTCAGTCAGTCTGATAGCTGTAGAGCTGTAGCTCTCCGAAAAAATATAATTTGACAGACCGGAGAGCTACAGTGGCACCCATTGAAAAAAACTGTATATTGTGCATGTGTATTCTTTTTTTCTAAACCTTTCATGCCTACCAACATCTTTAACCTATTGCACTGGTCTTGAAACTTTATCCATTTTTGCGCAAATTTTTGCGAAGTTTTAAAAGTGATCCGGAGTTTTGAACCATTGGACCTATGGCTTTTTATACTTAATACGGGTACTTCTTGTGCTAAGACATTCCTTTGGATACCAATAGATTTGACCCTTTGTCCTTGTCATTGGAATCTTTGGTACTTATTACAATTATGACCCTTTCACCCCGACCTTAGAGTTTGACCTACTTTTGATTTTTTTTTAAAATCTTGGTCATTATTTCAAAATGTTTGATGTCATTTTTCACATGTGTATTCATTGTAACAAGCTCTTTCCTTGGGTACCTCTGACCTTGACCTTGAAGCTATGAAGAAACCCCCTATTTACTGTCTTCAACATATTTAAGAAAGGTTGTAAATCAAAGTTGGATATCTCTCTATCTGTTAATCAATGAAAAATTTATAAACTGTAAAAGTTTTAACTTTATACCTCACATAGTTTTGGAGTTATTGTAAAATAAATTTTTGGATATGTTGACCTTTGACGAAACCTTAACAACGTTAATCTATATTTATGCGCCCGGATCGATAGATCCGAGGCGTATATTGTTTTTGTCCTGTCTGTTTGTCTGTTTATCTATTTATCTGTTTGTCTGTCTGTCTGTTGTCAACTTTAACCTTCGAGATAACTTTTGAACCATGAAAGATAGAGACTTCATATTTGGTATGCATACTCCACCAATGAAGTTCTTTCGAATGACACCAAGGCCAATGACCTTGTGACCTTGACTATGACCTATTTGCTAAAAATAGCTTTTTTGAATTTTCGCCATAACTTTTGAACCATGAGAGATAGAGACTTCATATTTGATATGCTTACTCCACCAATGACGCTCTTTTAAATGACTCCAAGGCCAATGACCTTGTGTCCTTTACTGTGACCTATATGTTAAAAATAGATTTTACAAAATTTTCGCCATAACTTTTGAACCATGAGAGATAGAGACTTCATATTTGGTGTGCATACTCCACTAATGAAGTTCTTCAATTAGTGATTAAAATTAAAAACTATTTCTCTCCATTGTACCGAGTTGCTGTAAAAAGCAAAATGTCTTCTAGACATATTAGTACATTGAAGCCACAATCGAGTTTACAAATACATTACCTAGTTTACCATTCCACAATTTTAAGCACCATGTACGCCAAGAAAACTGAATACGTACTAGATTTGTTGAACTAAAAGATATGACCAATCATCTGATAATACATATTACACATATATCTAGATGCCTTTTACTACTTATTTACAGAAGAATTTGAGGTAAACACATAGTTTCAAGTCCTTGTAAAGAAAACTCATGAGATAATATTAACCTTATGAAAAGGGTATTTATTTGCGGAAGAGTCTATTTGTTAATGCGCCCGTGCAAACAACACATACATGTACATAAAATATTTGCATATTAAATCCATTTTAAACTAATAATATGAATGAAAAACATTCTTTGTATCTAAAATAAGTAGGAGGTTGCATTGGTAGACCCTTATTGCAAAGGAGGAGAATGTTATTGTTACAATAAGAATATGGCAGGCCTAAATAAAGAGTTTATCTGCTTTTCAATTCAAACAACAGGATTTGGCATTCGTTTGCAATCAACATTCTGTTTTCTAATATTGAAATACATCTAGGTGATTTTTTCCATTTGCCAATACTTATTTCGCTTAAGTAGGAACCGCTCGGATCAAAAATTGAAATACTTCTATTAAAGAAATTAGTGATGAAAACGTTGTGATTTTTGTCATATGCAATAGATCCTGGATGATGGTCTATTGTTCTTATGATTTCCCCATTGCTTTCAATAAAATATACACAATTATTGCCTCCGTCTGACACAACATACAGTTCATTCGGAAGGCAGCAGGCATATCTAGGATTTCCGAGTGCTGTAGGATTCCCCTCTTCGTCCCGAAAAGACACCTTGGACACATTGCCATCTTTATCAGTAAATATGGAGTGCTTTGTCATCCAGATCAGGGCGGGGTTCTGTGGGCTGGACGTAGCTAATGTAAACACGCCCTGTTTCTTCTTGAACTCTTTAAGTGTTTTATGGAACACTTTTACATGCAGATCCACAGCCCTACAGGCTACGCCATGTTTATACACGGATACCGCCAGAGCCCTCGCCATGTTTACAGATTTTATAGTTCTCTCACTGAGATTTAACAGTTTGATCTTTTCGTTTTGTTTGTCCACGACAGCTATGTTTTCTTCGTTTATCCAAGCCACACTTGAATACACGGGTTTGAATTCATCCTCATCTTCTTTGAGATCCAAGTTTTCCAGAAGCTTTATTTTATATGAAACATCACTGGATAGGGAACTTAAGTTTGGAACACTCTCTGACAATGTTCCTGACATGTTGGTTTTCTCTGCAGTTGTTAATTTTTCTCTTTCATTGCTACCAGTTTCCCAATTACACGATGCATATCCACTGCCACCTAGAAATGTAAATCGAGGTTCATCCCATGTGATCTGAAAATCAGGGACATCGACTGCTGGACAATTACTCTCTTCTCTCTTAGATTCACGTTCTAATTTTGTAAGTCTATTGAAAATTTCATCCAACAAAGGCAAAACCTCAATATCATTTCCTCTTTTCAATACTTTCTCTGAAAAGTTGAGAGATTCTTCGATGCTTGTGCACATTTTGGAAGATCTATCCCAGATATGCAGCAAATTATCTTTTCCAGGTTTAATTCGATCCCTAAGTTCGTCCTCCATTTTCTTTTGATTTTTACGGATGCTGTTTATGGCCTTTGTACAAGTCTGCTTAATTTGATTTTGAATAATGGTCTCCCTGTCAACCAGTTCCTCCATTCGCAAACCAACAACTGCATTATTCTGCTTTATGGCTTCTAGTTTCTCTTTCAAAGGTCCCATTACTTCTGAAATGTTGTTTTCTTTCTCCTTTCTAGCATCAGAAATCGGTTTAAAATCATGGCTTTTGTGTTCAAAGATGATACAATCACGACAAACTAACAAATTGCACTGGATGCAGAAATATCGCAGAGTTTCGTCGGGGTGCTGTGAGCATCGAATCTTCTGAACTGATTGAATTTCTTGAACGTATTTTCCTTCCCTGATTTCACTTATTGGTACAACTTTGTGGTCCACTGTTTGGCGGGTAAGTGCGTGTGTTTTAGTGCAGTCCTCACATAAATAATCTAAACAACTGATGCACTGTGAAACCGCAATGTGCTCTTTTTCTGTTATTTTGCAAAATGAGCAAAACAGTTTTGAAGAACTTTCAATCAGATCGATCATATTCTGTAAAAAGAAGTTTGTTTTTAAACTGTTTTGATCGTCTGAGAAAGGATCTCTGCAGATTGGACAATGGCTTGAACGTTTTGTATCATCCTTCTGAATGAAGTTGGCAATGCATAGTTTGCAGAAGGAATGCAAACATGGAAGTGTCGTGGGTTCCGTATAAATCTCGTAACATATTGTACATGTCAGGAAATCATCGGATATTGTTTTCGATATAGAATCCATTTCCTTCTGCAAAGTTAAACAAGACATATTTTTTATGTTAAAAAGATACTAGTAATATATTTAGGATATTGTTCGGCGTAAATTAAAGAATTCTGCCTAGTTTTATTCTACTTGTATTTCCAAGAGTGAAAAGAAATATATAAAGTATTATAATCTCCATGTTTTGATACATAAGAGCAAGTTCTATATACGAATAATATCTAAAACAAAGCAAGCTATAACTGATTGTAATGACAAATAAGTTGACGATACAGTGTTATCAAAAGTTTCATTTTAAAGTCAGCCTTAACATTTCACAAATTCTATGGTCGATACAATTATTTTGTTAGCAAATATAATCCATCCTTAAATCAAATTTTGACAGCGTATTTTCATACATATTGATAGGTCATATTTTTACACTTAATTGTCTATGGATTTTTCCATTTTCTTGATCATGATAAGGAGCATATGGAGGGTGTGCTTACTTCTCCATGACTGGTCAGCTCGTGTTTGTACTGCTCCCAACTTGCATTGTTCATAATCAAAACCAGATCTAATCTACTACTTAATTTACAATGTTTGTTTAACAACAAATTTGAATAGATAACTGCAAAAGGAAAGGTGGATTTAGATGCACATTTTTATCAGTTTATAGTACTAAATTTTGATTAAAACAACAGCTTGCCTGCGTATCACAGTGTTGAAAGCGTTTGGTATATATTTCTTGTCTCCTTAATTGTTTTTCCTCTTCGTGCTACCTGTACTCAAAATATTCATGGTGCATATTGTCACAAAAAAGTAAATCTATTAATTTTTTTTATATTGAGCACAGGAGTTCGCGTACCTATCAATTAATAGTATACCGAAATTTTCATTAAATAAAAAATACGTAATACGTGTGTTATTATTATAGGTATTACGTATCTTTTTTATTTACCGAAAATTTCGGCAAAACTGATAGGTACGCGAACTCCTGTGTATTGAACTTTAATACTGTTCGTTATCTTCATGTATTTAATTCTCTTCATACTGGATGCTGTAAAATTTGGGCCAGTAGGTTCATCAGCATCCCTCCATGGTCTATGCATAAATCGCCCCAAAACCTTAAAAACATCATCTTTTCTGGATGCCATAAGACCTTTTAAGGCCTTTTATAATTATGAATCAGGTCAAACAAAATTCTCTGCTGTTACATTGCTTTCAAAATACGGGTCGGTATTGCCTTTATTACTTCAAGGTATTGTTCTAACAGATTGTTTGATATTCAGCACGACATTGGTCCCAGAAGGTCGACCTTCCTGTACTTAAATTAAAATGAAAGTATATTAGGAAGAATTAAAATAAACTATATCTTACCAGATATGTCAACACTTCGTGACTTTCTTTATATATGAAGTTCAAAATGGGAAGTGACGTGTAAAAATCGATAAGTGCACAGTTTTATGCAGGTAAAATATCCGTGGAATAATGTTATCTGATCAGGCTGTGAATTACACGTACTTTAAACTTTTTTAAAGCTTTGCCTATTATGAAGAGTTAATGTGCATAAACTATTCTGAACGTTTTGTATTGCAGAAAAATAAAACCCAAATTCAATATTCCAATATTGAATGATATTAATAACAAATTGAGTTTATAACAATCATTGACAGAGGTCTGAGGGTACGTAGATCGCTAAATCGCTAGTTATTTCGTGACATTGGACTACGACAATAACAGAAACAAACTTGATCAGATTAACCCCAGTAAAAGGTTTAAGAAGTCTGAAAATACAGTCAATAAAAAGAAGACTTTATTTGTTTTGGCGTGCTTGTCATGGCCATTTAATAATAAATTAGATATTACACAATGTATGCGCCGATCATTATGATTATATGGCAGCATAGGTAAATGAATATAGATGATGAGCAAGAGAAATACCACCTTGATCCAAGGAGTCTGGAAAAAACAGTACCCCCCGGAGACAGCATTCTTTGCAAAATTATGCCTAACAAAGTCAATAGCCACACGCAACTGGAACATCGAAGGTCCGCAAAGCACATCAACATCGAAGGTCCGCAAAGCACATCAACATCAAAGGTCCGCAAAGCACATCAACAAGCTGGTGGATCCTATTCAAGATTCGATCCATGCCATGACGCTGAAACGAGAAATTAAAAGAAAACGAGAAAAACAACCGGAAAAAACCGTTATAATGAAAATGCATTAGAAAAAATGGCAGAGGTGCTAAAGGGGGATAAAATATAAAATTAAGGGGAGGGAGGGTGGGTTTTCAAAAATCTTTGCGTCTGCTTCGTTCAATTTACAGATTCGAAAGGAATATTCTAGAAGACATGCGCATACAAGAATTATCAAGATTTTTTAAGTACCGAGCCCGATGATTTATGACGTTCAATGTTAAGAAACTAAGAGTTATCTATCTTTGCATGTAAAACACTAAGCTGCACGAAATAACCAGGTTTATCCATATTGGATAAACCCCATTATTTCGTGACATTGGACTAAGACAATAACAGAAACAAACTTGATCAGATTAACCCCAGTAAAAGGTTTAAGAAGTCTGAAAATACAGTCAATAAAAAGAAGACTTTATTTGTTTTGGCGTGCTTGTCATGGCCATTTAATAATAAATTAGATATTACACAATGTATGCGCCGATCATTATGATTATATGGCAGCATAGGTAAATGAATATAGATGATGAGCAAGAGAAATACCACCTTGATCCAAGGAGTCTGGAAAAAACAGTACCCCCCGGAGACAGCATTCTTTGCAAAATTATGCCAAATGGGTCAAGGGACAAAGTCACGTGACCCATCCGCCACAAACTAAAATTGGGGCGGCAATTTTGCTGCCCAAAGTAACAACAGCACAAATCGTGCAAAATTAGGTACAAATCGCACCAAAATATATGTATTAAGCCAAATGGGTCAAGGGACATAGTCGCATGACCCATCCGTCTCAAACTAAAATTGGGGCGGCGATTTTGCCGCCCAGATCAACAATAAAAGCACAAATCGTGCACAAATTAGGTACAAATTGCACCAAATAACCAAATTGGTAAGTGAAAGGCACAAATTGCGCCTTAAGATTGAAATTTTAAAATAAATGCAAATTGCATTGAAAATGATAAATGTGCAACTCGCACACAATGGGGCTCATGACAAGCATCGCAGAAATGTTCACAAAACAAAATTACACAATTGATATAGTTTCTCTAAGTACAAATAAAAATTCTGTTTCCCAAATCCGAAAATTGAACTCCATTATCTCCCTTGCAATGCGACCTAATATGTGGATAACTGATTGATGCACCACGACCCTTAAACTTACTTACCACAAATGTAGCACATGCACTATTAATCCTAAGTCTACACTTCTGTCATTCTGCATTTGCAAGGCAATTTATCAATTATTCTGAGGCAAAATATGTGACCATATATGTAATAAAAGTTTGTGGGAATACTCAGTAAAGCAATATTTGAATTGCAACGTTGTGTCATAATATAAAACAATATATAAACAGAAGGTAAATTTACGACAATGGTCTTATGTAAGATTTATAGGCTGCTAACTGTAGGGTTTTATCAATTTATCGATACGTATCAATATACAAGAAACATATCGTATTGAAAATTAACTTCCAATACGTATCGGACAGGCATTTTTTCTTCTAATTCTGTTAAAAAGATGGGAACTTCAATCACCAAAGATCATATTTCACTTTTTTGAATTAAATCTGTTCAATAATCATTCAATTTTTTAAGGCAATAACACAGTGTTTAGAATTATTACTAAAGCATAGACAATTTTAATTTAAAATGTTGATTTTACAGTCATTAAAAGTCTTGATTTGATAGTCATTAAAAGTTTTAATTTGAGGTGTAAGTTGTAATGACAATGAAACACTTAATTTTTTTTTTGAAATTCATACGTTAAATGATTTATAAGCCTTTTATGATTGACTTGTTATAGAATCCAATATATCGCATATATCTTAAGAAAAAAAAAAATAAATTATTGTATCGTATCGTATCTAAATTTGTTGCTCAATACACAGTCCTGGCGCCCGACTGCCACCTTCCCATCTGCGTAATATTTTCATCTGAAAACACTTTCACTGAAAAGTGGGTTGCAACCCCAATGTGAAAAATCAGTGCGTCTTAACTTCAGTTGACTGAATATTCAAAAACTGCAACGTTTTGTTTCAAGTTTATTCAATGTATAACGACCATATTTTGTACCTAAGAAATGAATAGTCCGATATTTTAAATCATGGTAGCAAAATATTTTGATTGATTAATTATTATTGTTCTACGCCAAGTCGGCAATATTTTAGTCATAATTTGAAGATGTTGTAAAACAAAAATGTTCCAATAAGGAATTTACATGTTGATTACTAACCAATTAATTGCACCTTGATTTTAATATTCAAGTCTATGGACAGCGCATATGTTTTTGTAAGATATTTTAAGAAGTAGTCTGAATTTCAAACTAATTCAAGTATTATCTCTTGGTGAAAATATGCGTTTGTTTGTTTATTAAAATATGATATAAAATGAACTTTATACCGAAGAAATTTAGATAAATTAATTTTTTTTCAATCAAGGCCAGATAACTCTTAGAAACTTTCAATGTGCAAAATGACCGTCTGTGTACATGTTATTAGTCTTGCGAATTTTGGTTCATTTCACTTTTATCTTTATCTAAAATCGTCGAAAATTCCTTCATTATACATTGAATACCTTAAGATGGACGGAAACTGATATTGGGATAAGGGTTTTGAGTTTAAATGTGAAAATTGAGACGCCAGTTTAATATTTGTACATAATACAGCAAAAATCTGCAAAGATTGAAACAATCACATTGTAATATTTTTCAACATGCAAACATGTCCCCGAATCAGTTTGGCCAGTCTAAAATGTTGTAACAAAAACTTGAATGGTATCACAAGAGACAATTATATGCTTGATACCCAAAGCCACTATTTTACTCACTCTTTAATAGTAATGCAAAGAAAGCTCATGTAAAAGCAAACTTAAATAAAGCCACTTCAAAATCGTGTAAAAGCAGACTTAAATAAAGCATCTTCAAAATCATGTAAAAGCAGACTTAAATAAAGCCGCTTCAAAATCAGAACACAAATATGGCAAAACACTGACAATGTTATCCAACATAGGTAATATAATGGTTTTCTTATATCCTGAGATGCATTAGTTACATCTCTTGAAACCAGCCCATAACTTCTTTATAATAAATGAATCGATTGGATTCTGTCAACCATGTAAGTTGATGACAAAACTGATTCCTGATAAATAACATTTGACGGTAGAAAAAGCCATAATACTCTCTGGCATATATGCTATAAAATTAATCATATGATCAAAAGGAGGGGACCAGATCTGCTGAAATGATACCTGTTGCCTGAAATTGAAAAAAAAAAAATACTTTTGCTTTCTGCATTTTGAGATACACCGGTTTGAAGGAGACTGGCTACAGCTAGCTCCTGAATAGCTCTGCAAAACTGAATAGGTACATGTACATGGAGGGAAAAGGTTCTGTAATGAAACCTATTCCACAGAAACCTAGAAATAGCATCTGGAATTTATTTATTATTATTATTTTTATAATATACCTTGTATATGTTGAGCTTTTAAATGTACATTAAACTTAAAAGTCTGCATAACTAACATCCCGACTAATGCCATAATTCTTTTGTTTTGATTTGTGATTAAATTGCTGTAAACCAAAGAAAAAAAATGTCAATATATGAATGTTTTTTTTTTTTTTTTAAATTTAATTTAAAATTTCAGCCCAGATCATAATCCTTAATACAACAGATACAAGTTCTAGGTAGGCGAATCCCTGTATTACTCCTCAGGCCAGTCAACAGGTCAATGTGGGCAACACCAATGTTTTTACTAAACACCACACCGTAACCATTGAACTATCTAAATAAAATTGAAGTGCATTAATTATATAGATTATTCCTGCCATACACGACTAGGAAAATGTCCTACAATTGAAATTCCCAAGAAATAGAATTAATATTAATTACACATCAATAAGTCTAGATAACTCATTTTTATTTATTTAATTAATTATTTTGGGAGTCGTTTAGAAAAAAAAAATTGTTAAACGTTTAATTATTCGATTAATTCAATTTTTTAGAAATAAATTCTATGTACATGTATATCTAAAGAAATTGAATGTTTACATGTACATGTAATAGGACGATTTTTTTTTTTTTTTAACAAACCCCGATATTTTCTTTGAAAATTAAATAAAAATGGCATTACTAGATCACCGTAGAAAACATAACAAATGAGAGAAATCCCAAATTATTACTATGTGAAGGTGACCAGTGGATAGATGGATAGTTTACAGATATTATGCAGGGTCTTGGTTTTTGAAAGCAAGTTTGTAATTCTGGTTTAAACCACGACGGATAC